TATTTTTGGCAGATTCAACCTTGAAGGCTCTTCTCCACTTCAACAGGGCAGCTCTGGTGGCTTTAATCTTCTGAGTGATATTGGACATTGGGGAGCCATTTGATGTCTGGTTCCAGGCTCTTTGAATCTCCTTCTTAATGTCTGGTTTCTTGAACCATCTCTTGTCAAAACAAAAGGAATTTTTCCTCTGCTTATGTGGATTACTAATGTGGAGGAGAAGGAGATTATGGTCAGATGCACTTTTAAATATGTTGAGGACCTTTGCTTCTGGGTGAGTTCCAAGCCAGTGAAGAGAGGCCACCATTCTATCTAGTTTTTCCTCAATGTACCGTCAACAACCCTGCTGTAGATCTCTTGACCTCCCAAATCTGCTAGACATTTCCTGAAACCCCATAAGCTTTATTCAAGTCTCCATCTCCCTCCATTTTTCTCTCCTTGGCATAAGATGTCATTCCAATTACCCGCAATCACCCATTTGCTACCCCACTTAACTTTAGCATCATTGAGTTATTTCCATTGATCCACTCTAGCTTTCCTGCAAGGGCTTAGATAAACAAAAATAAACCAGGATTTCTTATCATTAGTGGACAGGTTAAATTCTACTTCAATACAAGAGGATTTACAAAAGATTTGGTGAATGATAACATCCTTGTTCAATAATACTAACAATCCACCCCCTTTGTTTATAGGATCAAATACTACCCATCTATTCCCTATTCCCATATTTCTACATACGGTATTTATGAAATTTTTGGATTTTCTGGTTTCACACAAAAAAACAAAATTTTGGTGGTAGGATCTCCAGGATTCCTTCAATTGGGGAACTGTAAAGAGTCTACCCAGACCTCTACAGTTCAACACCATTACTGTCATTTATCCACTTAGGGCCACATTAGGCTGCCTTCCTCCACCTATGCAAGAAGTTGTTTTTGCTTTTTCTTTGGGCTGATCTTGGTGTCTGGTTGTGCTGAGTTATTGGGGAGTTCAGGGTCTACATTTCTGTTTCTCTTTCCACTCTCCTGAGGATTTGAGGGAGCATCTGTTGTATGAGAGGGGCTTACAACTTCTGCTTTGGTCTGCCTCCTAGTCCATTTCTTCATGGGCTCTTTGAGTGTTGTGAGTTTATCTCCCACTGGGGGATTTTTTGGAGCTGACAGAGAGAAGTCCATTTGATATAGGATATTATATACCCGAAGGTAAACCGGTCTACTGGACCTGATGGAGGGGTCGCACCATGATGGAATCGAGCCAGACAATGAGAAGATCGAGCAAAACAACTTGTGGACCAGTCAAATAGTCGACCAATCCAGCGCTCGAGCAAACAAACGATCGAGCAACCTTATCGACCTCAGCCGGTCGAGCATCTCGCGGACTCAACACTCAACAGATCGACCTAGTCACAGACACGTGTAAGAGCCTCCAACCGAATTCCAGGAGAATATTCACCCCATGTGTAGAAGGACACGTGTCGATAATATATTGGGTGATAGCGATAACCACCTCTGACAACTCCCAACGCCCTACGCCACTGTTACGATCGTGTATCAATTATAAGAAATTAACGAAGAATTTATGAAACCCGCACTGGAATGGCCGTCGGTTAACACGAGATTTTGTGCCCAAGACGAGCGTTTTCTGATTTATGATATTCTAAGATAACTGTTCTTTTCACGTACAGACCTTTAATCTGGCCAAGAAAAGAAAAATAACTCACACTGCTACTAGGAAACTAAAAAAAGTTGCAAAATAAAAAAATAAAAGCAAAGGAAACAAATAAAAGTTGTTGCGAAAAATAATTAAAAACTGTTGTATTGCGGCGCGGTATTCTTCACGGCGTGGTACAGAAAAATGAGGCTCAGAAGGCCCGTGAGACCCAGCACGTAATGCCCCGCGGCGTGATGGTCGCTCTCCCTCGCGACGTGGTGCCCCTCGCGGCGTGAAGGTGGACAGTGGCGCGGCGCGACGGTTCTCCGTGGCGTTGCAGCTTGAGTCCAACTCTGCTGCATCCGTCCAAACCTATTGCTTGTACATGAGACTAATTCCTGCACCTGTCTCGAGCCTAGCCTTCTTGAGTTGAGCTCGTCGGGCCCGATTGTAAGCGTTTTTTAGGATACGCCCTTCATCCCAATCATTCCCATCCCCTTCGAGTAGCTCCTTGTCCTCAAGGCTAAAGCTCAGGAATTGAATGCCAATATCGTGCATATTCTCCCAAGTGGCTTCCTCTACCGGTAAATCTTCCCATTCGACCAAGACTTCCCAATGAAAATGCCAGGCTCTCTTTACTCTTCGATACTCCAAAACTCGACGAGGTTGTATAATGATTTGTCCTTCTCCATTCAAAGTCGGTAACCGAGTATGTGCCTCATGATCAACACTCAAGCTCCGTTTCAATTGAGATATATGTATGAGCGGGTGTATTTGAGACTCCACTGGCAACTCGAGCCTGTACGCCACCTCGCCTATTCTCTCCATGATTTTATACGGCCTGTAGAAACGACTTCCTAGCTTGTACAATGCTTTCTGGGAAATTGTTTGTTGGCTGTGTGGCCTCAACTTGAGATAAATCCAGTCACCGGGTTCAAACCTCTCCTCCCGGCGGCCCTTGTCATAGTACTTCTTCATTCTGTTAATGGATCCGGATAAATTTTGTTTAAGCTCTCTGATTAACAAGTCTCGCTCCATCAATTCACGATCGACCTCTGCATTGGGAGAATTTCCCGCTGGATAGCTAACAAGCGTTGGAACTGCTCGTCCATAAACAAATTCAAAAGGGGTGAATTTGGTAGAAGCATGAAAAATGGTGTTGTACCAAAATTCGGCCCAAGGCAAGAACCCCTCCCATTTTGTAGGAAATTGGTGAACATAACACCGTAGGTACTGTTCAAGTGTGCGGTTAGTTACCTCAGTTTGGCCGTCCGTCTGAGGATGGTATGCTGAGCTCATAGCTAATTCGGTCCCTTGCATCTTGAATAATTCCCTCCAAAAGTGGCTCATGAAAATCCGGTCACGATCAGATACAATAGATCATGGTACTCCATGCAGCTTCACCACAAACTCAACAAACAGCTTAGCTATGGATTTAGCTGTATACGGATGTGTCAACGGAATAATATGAGCGTACTTGGTGAGTCGATCTACCACCACCATAACTCCATTGAACCCATTGGATTATGGTAACCCTTCGATGAAGTCCATCGAGATATCTTCCCATATGCGATTGGGAATTGGTAGGGGTTGCAACAAGCCACTTGGTTTTCATGAATTCGCTTTCAGCTGTTGACAAACATAACACTTTGCTACGAACTCTCGTACTTCATTTTTCTGCCCCGGCCAATAAAAGGTATTCGTCAATCTCACCCACGTGCGGTATATCCCAGAATGACCTCCCACTTTTGAATCATGAAAGTACCGAATGATCAAAATCCTCAAGTCACCCGCTTCCGGAATGTACATTTTCCTTTGAACATCAATAGCCCATCATACATTTCATAGTGTTGAGCCTCTATATCTTCTACCTCCATAAGTCGTCAGATCTCATTACAGAAGGCATCTTGAGCATGCACCTCCCGAAGTTGATCCCAAATAGCCCAAGTCGGGCCAGAAATGGCTTGGATTCCGCTACATTAGTGCGACGAGACAGTGCGTTTGCCACCAAGTTCTGTCATCCCGGACGATAGCAAATCTCGAAATCGAACCCCATCAGCTTTGATACAAATTTCTGTTGCTCCAAGGTCACTATGCGTTGCTCTAGCAAATGCTTCAGAGGCTGTTGATCCGTCACAATCATGAAATGTCGACCCAAAAGGTACGGCCTCCAGACCCTTACTGCCTCACACACATGCTTCCCAACGCCTTGCTCAAATAAGCGATCGGTCGATTCTCTTGTGAGAGAACAACACCAATTTCTATATCACTGGCATCGGTGTGTACCTCAAACATGACGTCAAATTGAGGCATGGCTATGACGGGAGTAGTAGTCATAGCCAATTTGAGCTGGTCAAACGCTTGTTCACTTGCCACCGTCCATTTGAATCCCCCCCTTTTTGTCATGTCCGTCAAGGCCTTAGCAATCGAACCATAATCCTTGAAAAATTTTCGATAATAGCCGGTTAGTCCCAAAAACTCTCTCAATTCGGTCAAGCTCTTCGGTTTTGGCCACTCTTGCATTGCCTCAATTTTTTGAGGATCCACTTTCACACCCTCATACGGAATTATGTGCCCCAAATATTCCACCGACTCCTGGCCAAAGGACCACTTTGACGGTTTGATGTTGAAATCATTCGCCGCCAAAGTACTCATTACCAATTTCAGATGTTCAAGATGATCACTCCAAGTGTTCGAGTATACCAAGATGTCATCAAAAAATACCAAAACAAATTTTCTCAAGAGAGCTCGAAAGATAGAATTCATAGCAAACTGAAAAGTTGACGGGGCATTACATAATCCAAAGGGCATTACCAAATACTTGTAGTGTCCTTGGTGAGTTCGAAATGCCGTCTTCGCAATGTCGTCTTCAGCTAATCTTATCTGATGGTATCCGGCCCTTAAATCCAGCTTCGAAAAATATTTTGATCCTCCCAGTTCATCCAACATATCATCAATACTGGGAATTGAAAATCGGTCCTTTATGGTGGCAGCATTCAGAGCCCGATAATCGGTACAAAAACGCCAAGTCTCGTCCTTCTTCTTAGCTAATAACACGGAGGAAGAGAATGGGCTTGAGCTATGCCTGATTAATCCAGTATCAAGCGTTTCCCATACTTGTTTCTCGATCTCCGTCTTCTGGAAATGTTCATACCGATAGGGGTGAACACGTACCGCCTGATTCTCATCTTTCAAAGGAATATGATGATCGAAAGTTCGCCTTGGGGGAAGACCCCTCGGTTCGTTCATCACCTCTTCAAACTGGTCCAGTAAATTTTGTATCTACCAATCATGATGTGGCTTCGTCTCGATCTCTTCCTCTGCCTCATCCATCTTGATATCAAAGAGCTGGCTACCCCCTTTCCGCAGTTTCTCCATATTCTTCAAACTAACCTTCTTTGCCCCTTCGTTAATCCCGGCAGACAACTTGACCATCCCGTTGCCCCAACGAAATTCCATGCTGCCAACCTTATAGTCTGTAGTTACCGGGCCCATCCCTTCCAACCATTGAACACCTAATACAACATCTGGTCCAACCAACGTCAAAGCATAAAGGTCAGCTTTTAAAATTACCCCTTGTACCTTGATAGGCACATCTTTCACTATCTCCGAACATCTCAATCGGTCCCCATTAGCCACCCTCACATCAAAAGGTTCCATCCTAGTCACTGGTAAATTCAATTTAGTAGACAATGTAGAGTTGATGAAATTATGGGACGAACCATTATCCACCAGCACCACTACTCGTCTATCTCGGAACCATGCTGACAACCTCATTGTCTTAGGGCCTTGAGTTCCTGCCATTGCATGAACCGAGATCTCGGGATTATCCACGTGTGTATCGGTGTCATATTTGGCTTCGTCTACCTCTTCTCCATCTTCTTCACTAGCCTCGAACTCAATTAGAAAGGACTGCTTTGTTTTACACCTATGCCCAGGCACAAATTTTTCATCACAGTTAAAAAATAGACCCTTCTCTCTCTTCTACTGCATCTCATCCCAAGACAAACGTCAGACCCCTGATGGTATCGGTTTTGTATTTCCAGCTAAGGTTCCCTCTCCGGCTCCTGATGTGCGAACCGAAAAAGTACTGGGACGACGCACCTCCGGGTGATTTGCCCTCTTCACGGCCAACAAATGATCTTCACGCATTCGAGCAGCTTCAGTTGCGGCACGCAGTGTTCTCGGTCTCTCCAATAGAACCTCAGCTGCAAGCTCTGCCCTCAAGCCTCCTACAAACGCTCCAATCAATGCACTCTCAGGCCAATCACGAACTCGACTTGCTAATCGTTCAAATTCCTTCTGTTAATCCCGTAAACTCCCGACCTGTTTGATGTGTGAAAGAGTTTCATCAAAGTCATGGAAATCGGACTCACCAAACCTCGTCATCAACTCTTTTTCGAACTGTCTCCAACGAATAGGGATGTTCTTCTTTTTGTAGACTCTCGATATCCAGCGCCACCATACATTCGCCTCTCCATCGAGATAATACGCTGCAATTTTAACTCTTTCATTCCTCAGAACATCATTAATTTCAAAGTACTAGCTAGCTCGATTTAGCCATGAATCAGGGTCCGTACCATTGAATTTTGGTAAGCTAACCTTGGCTTTGTCATTCTTACGGCGTTCCCGTTGATTCGATCCTCTTGAACGAGCATCATCCTCATCTGCAAATCCATTGTGGAATTCGGCTTCACTACTGGCGTCAGATTCCCCTTCAGATGAAGAATCGGAATTGTCCCTCCTGGCCTTCCTAGCCGCGTTTTGCAGTAACATCCTTTCGATTCTGGCCACCACTTGATTGTTGATTGTACGTCCTCGTTGATAGAACGTACACTCTCTTCCAAATGATCGATTCTCTCGCGATTTGACATGGATACACGATCGGTGTCTCTCAATGAAAGTACCAATGTTACGATCGTGTATCAATTATAAGAAATTAACGAAGAATTTGTGAAAATCCACACTGGAATGGCCGTCGATTAACACGAGATTTTGTGCTCAAGACGAGCATTTTCTGATTTACGATAATCCAAGATAATTGTTCTTTTCACGTACAGACCTTTTATCTGGCCAAGAAAAAAAAATAACTCCTACTGCTACTAGGAAACTAAATAAAGTTGCAAAATAAATAAATAAAAGCAAAGGAAACAAATAAAAGTTTTTGCGAAAAATAATTAAAAACTGCTGCACGTTCACGTCTTTCTCCCCCGCGGCGCGGTATTCTTCACGGCGTGTTGCTCTGGTCCAGTGCCGCGGCGCGATGCTCTCACGGAGTGGTACAAAAAACTGAGGCTCAGAAGGCCCGTGAGGCCCAGCACGTAATGCTCTGCGGCGTGATGGTCGCTCTCCCTCGGACGTGGTGCCCCTCGTGGCGTGAAGGTGGACAGTGGCGCGGCGCGGCGGTTCTCTGCGGCGTGGCAGCTTGAGTCCAACTCTACTGCATCCATCCAAACTTGTTGCTTGTACATGAGACTAATTCATGCACCGTCTCGAGCCTAGCCTTCTTGAGTTGAGCTCGTCGGGCCCGATTGTAAGCATTTTTTAGGATACGCCCTTCATCCCCATCAGCCACCTCTGACATGTGCGCGGCGTGTCAGAGTACGGACGGGCAGCTTGGGCAGCCAGCTCATCCTCATCCGGGCAGCTATTAGGGCAGGTATCTCACCCCTATATAAAGGGGGTGAGCCTTTCTCCCTTAATACGATTTTTCCATTATTCAACTCCAGTATACTCATACACATACTAACTTAAGCATCGGAGGCTCTTCACCGGACACAACCCCCGGTGTGAAGTTATTTGCAGGTTTCCGGCGTTCTACCGGTGAGGACAAGAATCGATCTACCCCAAACCGGACCAGGACGTGAACACTTGCATTATTGGCGCTGTCTATGGGAACTTTCGTTTTAGAAGTTGTGTTTGAAGCTCAGCTATGGCATACGGAATTCCCAAAAACATGCAGTCGACGTTCGACGAAGCTTGGACGACGACCAGGCCGTTGGGACATGGCCCTCCCCTGGGTTTTTCTGGCCCATCGAAAATGTCGATCACTCATATACCTATCCTTCAAGGTGTGATCGAAAATGTCGATCACTCATATACCTATCCTTCAAGGTGTGGGAGCAACGACAGTGATTCCCGGAGGAGAGGCCAGCTCCACCGGGCCCAGGAAGCTCGCGCAGCAGCTGCGGCGATGATGCCACCGCCGCCGCCACAAAATCCAGTGATGTTGCATGGAGTAGTGGCGACACAAGGAGGAACACCACTGGCGACACAAGGAGGAACACCACAACAAGCCGTCGCACTAGCTCCTGGTCAACAGATGGTGATGATGACCAGGGAGGAGATGCAGAGGATAGCGATGGCTGCGGCAGTGCAGGCGGTGCAACAAGTCACGAGCCACACATCTCATGCCACCAGCGCGACAACCACAGCAGTAGGAGGCCAAGACGAGGACATATCCAGTTACAGAGATGGAGGAGGTGGAAGAGATCGTGTGATGGAGAGGATGGCGGAGCAGTTGCGCCAGTTGCAGGACAAGGTTGAAGGAAGGCCGGAAAGGAGGGCTCGGGGACATCCATTCTCGAAGGAGATTCTGGCAGCCCCCTAAATAATTTCAAGGAGACTAATCTGGTGTATGATGGGTCATATGACCCATCGATGCATGTGAGAACCTTGGAGAACATGGCCGTGTTGAATGGGTATTCTGACTCTGTGTGTTGTAGGGCATTTCTATCAACCTTGCGGNNNNCGGGGGGGAGCACTTGACTGGTTTCATCAATTACCCCCGGGGTCGATCACAGATTTTGAGGATTTTGCAAGCAAGCTTACCAATCAATATTCGAGTGCGGTGGCGCAGAAGAAGACATATTTGATGCTGATGGCGATGAGACAAGGAGAGAAGGAGTCGTTGAGAAAGTAAGTTGCTCGATATAATCAAACATGTTTGGAGGTGCACCCCGCGTCAGATGAGGTGAAAGCAGGAGGATTGATACGGAGTCTTCGAGCGGGGCCTTGTCGAACCTCCCTGGCAAAGACCCCTGCTCGATCATATGAGGATGTTTTAAAGCGATGCAGAAAATACATTAATTTGGAGGAGATGGAAATGAAGTTTGCAAAACTGGAAGGGGCGGCTCGATCAGAGCCAAAGAAGAAGAAGAGCCCACCAAGAGGAAGGTCGCCAAGGAGGAGTTCGCCCAAGAGGAGTGGGCTGAAAAAGGCATCTCCCAGGAGAGAGAGTCGAGATTTGAAAGGGGAGAAGTGGGATGAATGACAGAGGAGATCGATGTTGTTCGAAAGACAGAGGTACCATACTTTTACTCCTCTAAGGAAAGATATGACAGAGGTGCTCGAGGCTATGGAGCAGAAGATAGCGAGCGAGGATGTGGCATGGCCGAAGACGAGGTTTACCGGCCCGATTCGACCCAGGTCGAATATCTACTATCGTTTCCATCGAGATTACGGCCATACCACGGAGAACTGTAGGCATTTGAAGGATGAAATTGAAAGGTTAATTCGGGCAGGGCACCTGAAGGAGTTTGTATATCATGATCGGGCAAAAGAAAAAGGAAGGAGAAGGTGTCGAGAAGAATCTGAGGAGAGAAGTGGTAGAGATGAGGAGGGTGATGATAGAGATGGGCGAGATGGTCGAGGAAAGAGGCCGAAGAGAGATGGAGACAAAAGAGGTCAGGGAGGAGAAGCCCCGTTGAAGAGAGGGAAGATTTATATGATTTGTGGAGGACCGACTGATGGCGACTCGAATCACGCCAGGAAGGAGCATGCTCGAGCTATGAAGAGAAAACGAGAGGAGGTGGGGATTACGACTCGAATGCCAGTGATAAGTTTTAAGGCGGAGGATGCTGAGGGAGTGGTCTTGCCATACAACGACGCTCTGGTGATTACTGCGGAGGTGGTGGGATTTGATGTGAAGAGGGTGTTCATTGATACTGGGAGTTCGGTGGACGTTATGTTCTATGATTGTTTTGTGCAGATTAATAAGGAACTGAACATGGAGCTGAAACCTGTGGCCAAGGCGTTATACGGCTTTAACGGGGGAGAGGTTATGACGATGGGGGAGATCAGTCTGCCCGTGGCACTGGGATCAGGGATGATGAGGAAAGTTCGGATGGTGAGGTTTGTGGTCGTCGGGGCTGAGTCGCCTTACAACATTATAATGGGGAGAACAAGCTTGAATGCATTTCAGGTGGTCGTATCCACGTACCACATGACGATCAAATATTTTGTGGGCAAAAACATTGAAGAGATTGCTGGAGATCAACTTACCTCGAGGAGCTGCTACCAAACTACGGTGAGCAACAACAAACAACTAGCGAAGAAGCAGGCTAGGCCAAAAGAGGAGGAGGTTAATCAACCAGGTGGGTCGTGGTCGAAAGAAGATAGGCAGAGGTCGAAGAAGGGAAAAGAGAAGGTGGATATCCGACCCGAGGAGGAGGTCGAGGAAGTTCACATGATCGAAGGATATGAGGAAAGGAAGTTCAGAATTGGGAAAGACCTGGAAGAGCCCATCCGATCGAGGTTTATTTGCCTGGTTAGAGAGTTCGCGGATATTTTCGCATATACAATGGAGGAGTTGACGGGAATAGATGCGGAGGTGATTGTGTTGGTGTTATATACTTAAGCTTTGCTTTAGTGGATATTACACTTGTTATTCC